AGAGAGAGAGAGAGAAGGGCAATACGATGTCTTATTTTTTTGATAAAAGTTAACTTTTGTATTGCTATAAAGAGTTGGAATACAATTTGGTTTAATCCGAGAGTACCCACTAGACGAGTGTCTCGGTAAAAAATAGGTCAACAGACCCTGTACAAAAAGGGGCCAATAAATCTACCCGATTACCATAGATTTACAATGAGGTTACAAAAATGGGCTTATAGGTTTACCCGTTTACAAAGAGATGTTCTACTACGTGTACCCTCTGTGGTCCAGAGCAAAAAAGGAGATGGACCAGGTTTGGTCTTCTACTTGGGCCCTAGCTCGTCCTTCACCAGGAGATCGGCTAACTCGTTTGACATCCTTGAGGTATGCATCCAGAAGACAATCATATCCCTGCAAATGTATGCAATCTTGTCAAAAATTGAAGCGAGATACCATGGAGGTGTGGATCTCTCGGTTGCCCACAATATGATATTATGCGCATCTCCCTCCACTATAAGGTTTCGCCCCCAAGACTGATTGAAGCTTTTGAGGCCCATCAGTAGGGCCATCACTTCGGCTTGCTGAGAATCTTGAAATCCTAGATACGCAGAGTAGGTTAACAGGATATTGCGATGCTCGTCTCTGAAGACACCACCAGCACCTGCATGGCCGGGGTTCCCCAGAGAACAACCATCAAAGTTGAGCTTTATGTCTTCTTTTGGGGGTGGCTGCCAGTTGCGTGATCTTTGCGTCTTCTGTGGTCGGTGGTACAATATGTTTTCCCATTGGCTTAGGAAAGTATTCGGTGGGAACCCCACAAAGATTCGTAGGTTGGATGCTCAGAAAGTTACTAAGGATGTAACCTTGTGGAAAAGTGTTGGACCTTGGGTAGTAAGGCCTTGAAATAACCTGGAATTTCTTTATATCCTGATCACCCAAACGATGGCTGCCACAACAGCCCTCCATAGGATCCGTCCAGCCTTCGGCCAATGTGAAGCATGGTCTGCAAATATAAGGTCCTTGACCATCGGGGGCGTGACCCATTGGACATAAAATAGCCGCAACATTTGACCCCAGAGATCGTGGGCCGTGTTACAATAAATGAAGAG